TCAAAGAGTTAGAGGAATAGGGGAAGGAAAGTATTCATTCCTTTCCCAAAACCTTTGCGAGACTTGGCAAAGTGTAAGCGTTGGCTAGTGGCTTGCTCACGTTCATCGGTAAAAGGCCTAAATGCCCAGAAACCCTACAATATAGGGCGAGGGCCAAAATAACACCGGACAATGATTTTATTCAAGGCTTTACAAAGGCACGCAGAAGTAAATCAAATCCGTTAGAACACGGAGCAAGAAAAAGTAAATGCGATTATGCGCTTCCATTAACGTGAAATCGGTCGTTTTAAGACTGAAATAAAGAGAAGAAAGCGACCCGCAACAGCTACAACACTGAACCTGAAGAACTGATGTACGATCGAATCAACGCGCGCGGCACAAGCTAAAACACTCAAGATGATGTAACGATCGATACAGTTAAAAAAAAATTGCTATAAACTTCCAGGAACAGATTGCTCATTTCAGTTGACGGCTGAAATTTCCGATAAGGAAACAACATTCCAGGACACCCACATCTACAAAGTCGAACGATTCGAAAAAGACACAGTCCTTGATGTGTGTACTCATTTTAAACAGCATTTCGGAATACGCACTTTAGTTCCTGTCACCCGCAAGGTGTTAAAAAAAATCTTATTTAAGGGGAGGCCCTCAGACCTCTCAGAACAAACTCTTCTCAAAAAATATTACAAGAGAAAATTGCAAACTTCAAAGCACGTCTGCTATAGAACTTGTTTATGCGGCTAAGCATTTTTCTGAACTGATGAACAACAGTTGAGGATTTTTCTCAATGGACGACCGAAACCCCAGCCGTGCGAACTGTTGAATTTTAATTACTTTTCCCAAGGGGTAACCGGCTGAACCAATAATTATTAGTTTTTTGGAACGGATAACACCAGCAGTACGAACGGATGCAAATTTTTTTGAACGGATAACACAAGCCGTGCGAACGGATGCAAGTTTTTTTTGAACGGATAACCCAAGCCGTGCGAACGGATACTATATTTTTTTGAACGGATGACCCAAGCCGTGCGAACGGATGCTAATTTTTTTGAACGGATAACCCAAGCCGCGGGAACGGATGCTATATTTTTTTGAACGGATAACCCAAGACGTGCGAACGGATGCTATTTTCTTTTGCACGGGTAACCCTGGCCGTGCGAACGGATGCAAATTTTTTTGAACGGCTGGTGAACGGCAAGTGAACGGCAAAACGCCTTCGGACGGATAGCCGTTAGTGTACGTTTTCGCGTGAGAGGTCACATATATCCAAACCCTCCCTTGGGAGGGTGTTGGGAGGTTTAAAATCTGTGGGAGTGGGTAGGGATTTGAAAAGAAAAGCTATTTTCTGGCATTTATGAAACCTTTATTATAAATTAGTCTGAAGTTTTGCACTGCAGCCATGTTGCATGGCAGGAACAATAGATTATTTTTCCCATGGGAAAAATTTTTCTTTCTTATGCAAATTATTTTCATTGTACCTGCCATGCAACATGGTTGCCATGCAAAACCTCAGACTATACCCAGAAGCTTCTGACATACATATGCAAACACTCAAACAGGCTCGCCAAAAGCTAGAAGTATTTGTATATGAAAACCAACTTTTGCCACTAGTCATGCCGACATGGATTTCTATACAAATTCTTGTAAATTTAAAATTTTTCAAAACTGCCGTCAAATCTTTCTCTTGGGCATTTAAAATCTGACCTAGCAGAGCACACTTCTTTGCCCCCTGGGGGAGGGGCGTTGGTAGCTTTTTGTTGAACAATCTTGGTTCTGGGTAGGGGGGATTTGTAAACGCCGTGGTGCAAATGCCCGGGGTCACCCCCCCGGATGGCCGCTGATAAGTGCATTACAGGGCTCAAATCTCCTTTTAATTCAAAACTGGCAATTTCAAACGGTGCAATGTTTCGAAAGAATTTTAACTGCCATGAACAATCACTTCTGCCTGTGTCTAGTATACAGGGCGCAAAGTGAGAGACATCGTGAGTCGCTTTTTGCCGGCGACTTACTGGAAAAAAAGTAGCCGCAGTTCCCGCGGTCCGGATCTTTTATTTTAAAGATAGTGGCGATGATACAAATCCCATGGGTCTTTTCCTGTGTATCATCCCTCGGAAGTGCAAATGCGGTCCAATGCCCTCGTCCCGGGCCGAAAATTGGCGACAAAAGTCAGCAAATCCCGTGCTACTCCCCCATATGTTCCCGGGGTCACCCCTGTAACATACAGAAGCCATGTTGTTTATTTATGACCTTGTGGGCATGCGATACAAAAATAAACCGCTGGCCGGTATCGGCCGCATAAAGTGTGACGTCACGTTGCCATGACAGCATTTTTTTCTGGTCTAAACAGTTTAAACTCATAGAGTCATAAACGAAGAAACAAACCCTGGCTAAGGCAACTCTATACGTTCTAGAGTCAATAATGTAATGTCCTAAAATTAATAATGCAGAACTCAACAAATGTCCAATGTCCTCAAGTCAATAAGAACAATAGGGAATCCAACTCAACAGCAGGGATGACAGATCACTGTACCCACATTTGTACGAGTGTCAATTTGTGACTCTATAAGTCAAGTCTTTGAGCGCAGCGAACCGCGCGACCACTTCTGGCTGTGTATGGCCCATCTGGCTGGGAGATTTCAGCACTGGAGGTTGTGGCAGGTTCCGGTTGATGATTCCATGGACGGTCGCAGGGTTCCATGAACGGTGAGGACTGGACAGAGCGTTATTGGGATAGGGTGTACTGTCATCTACGGCGGAATCTGAGCAATGCTCCGTAGTATTTGGCAGCTTCAGTTGATCGACGCAAGTGTCTCCGGTTGCGGCGGTACTCATGCCCAGCTGACTCCACAATGTAAGAGCGCGGGCTCACGTGTCGTTTGACAACGATGACAGGGTTCCACATTTTGGATCCTGGACTGGGTGCCATTCTCACTTGGCTACCTGGGCACAAGGGCGGAAAGATCACTTGCAGATTTCCTGTCATGGTAGAATTTCTGGTTTGCTTTCTGCTGGTTTAAACGGTGCATGACGTCTTGACGGTTGTATGCTGTGGGTGTGAGTAGGTCACGAAGAGAGGGGAGTTTGTTTCTCGGGCGTCTGCCCATCAGTAGTTGTGCTGGTGACAGGTTGACTCCTTCCAGTGGGGTTGTCCTGTAATCCAGGAGGGCGAGTTGCATATCAGCGGCTTTCCTCCAGAGACGCTTTACTGTCTGCACCGCTCTTTCGGCCTCACCATTGGCACCGAGAAGGTGGGGGCTCGAAGTCTTGTGGGCAATGCCGTATTCTTTGCAGAATCTTGCAAAATCCTTTGAAGCGAACTGCGGACCCCCGTCACTTCGGATCACATCAGGTATGCCATGTCGGCTGACCTGTGCTTTCAGTACTTCTATGGTTGCTTTACTTCCCATGTCTTGTAGCCTGTCGACTTCAATAAACTTCGAATAGTAGTCCACTGTTAGCAAGTAGGTTTTGGACTCAAAATCGAAGGGATCTGTCCCCACCGTCATGTAGGGTAATCCGGGAGTTTCTGTTGGTATTAGCGGCTGGGGGGTTGTTCCCTTTGGAATTCGGCGCACTTGGTACAGTTCTTAACCGTTTCCTCAATGTCGGAGTTCATAGCTGGCCAATATAACACTTCACGAGCAAGTTGTTTGCATTTAGTTATACCCAGGTGTGATTCATGGACAAGGTTCAGCATTTGTCGTCGTAGACTGGGGGGCACTATGATTCGCATTCCTTTGTAAATGATTCCATCGCATACAGCTAGTTCACCTCTAGAGTCCCAATACGGGCGCAGTG